TAGCTTATACTTCTCAAATGGTATTCTCGAGTCTCTATATGGAGCTTCAGGTAGGATCAAAGTAAGATATACTCAATCTGTTCCAAATTATAAAACGTTTTGGCTTTTCTAGATTCATGATTTTTGCTACACACTTAGATATACACTATGTCTAGATGCATAGTGAAAGCAACGTATCTAGAAAAGTCAAAACGTCTTATAATTTAGAACAAAGGGAGTACTTGCATTGCATATGTTGCTAAGTGAAAATTGGAACCATGGAGAATAATGTTATACTCCTAGATCAAGAAGTGTATGTGTGTGGAACATGATGATCGTGATGAACTCCTTGACATGATATGACTCCTTTCTCCATCTTATATATATGAGAGCATGGCTATCAACTTTTTCACTTTTCTTTTTTCTTTTCGATACATGGACCGTAATGTGTCCATATTTTTTAACTCTTTGGACCATCATGTATCCGATATAATTTTGTATGCTTTTCTTTTGCATAGCATATGCCTCTTTTTTGTAAGAACTTATGGAGAATCATATTTGAAACATGGAGTATTTATTTGGCGAGAATGGAAAGGCATGTTTTTTTTGCTTACTTCTAATGAAGTATAGCATATACTTGGTGGCGTGTATATGATCTCGATCTTGAGAGCATGATAAATTTCTCAACATGGGTCAACAAAGATTGTCAAAGCTCAATACAGAGATAGGTAGCATATGTGGAAGGTTTTCAACATATAACATATCTTAAATTTGGCCTTGGTAGGAAATCTCACCATTGAGAAGTGAAGCTATTGATTTTGAAGTTTTGTTCAAAACATAAATTCTCCAAGAACTTATACACAGAAAAGATATTATTTCTTTAGTCTTTACCATATCTTACTTCACAACAAGCACTTGTACGTGCTAAGAATAAAGTCATGGCAACCATCCTTTATGAAGTTCAGTTCATAATTTGGCATAATTTTATTTCACATTTTTTTATTTTCATGAAAGGCATTTTTAAACACATCAAACTCAGTGAAACTAGGAAAACTGATCAAAGCAGGTGCAAACCAGTGTGCTAGAGCAACAAGAGGTTGAGGTGGCACAAGCAGGGGCAGAGCCAGGATTTAAGCATAGGTTGAGTTGTTCAAGCCGACAACAATCATACATGATGAAATATATATACAATGAGAGCGTAGATCACTTTTCAGGTATCTCCCCATAATTGCTCTTAGATGATCACCTTGCAATGTTTATAGCATATATAAATTCTCAAAACTGCTTTGATTACTTTATATGGATCCTCCCAACTTGGAGACCACTTGTCAAACTTGTTTGTTTTCCACACCAGTTCCAAATTTGGAATTGCTTTTTCATCTTCTTATTGTAAGCTCAGGGAACATGAGGCTTTTTTATCTCCTGGGATTGTGCTCTATTTTATTTTTGATAAACTTGACCAAAGCTTTGTTAACGAAGCTTGACCATTAACTCCTTATTGTACCATAGCATTTTGCCCATTTTGTAGCAACCAGCACGAAGCAATACCCCTTCGATGATGAGGGAGGAAGGCGACCAATAAAATCTGACTCCTAACCTTAAATATAATTAGGCATCATGTACTTAAATATAATTGATCATTAGGCATCATGTACTTAAATGCAATTCATCGAACACTTTTATAAACTTTAGAGCTTGGATCACGTAAATAACTCTGAATGTGAATACTCCGATTAACCAAATCGGCCATAACCTCATTGGAATAAATTTGGGCACAGTTTGGCATATCACAGGGAAAACCGACATGGGCCAATTTTAGCAGGGTCAGCCACACCAGCATGGCCTAGGCCAATTTCAACGGCCTTGGCTCGTTTTGTTCTTTTTGCATTGCCTTCTCTTTGATATGGAAATTCAATCTTTCAACATTGAAGTCTGATACTTGTTGAGCCAGCATGTTAGCCTTATATTTTTCATGCCTCAGAATATGTCAAATTTGGAATTCGACAAAAGCATATAATGATGTCAAGGCATTTATCAAGATATATGTACTAAATGATCTTTCCAAACATTTAAATACATCAGCCTCTTGCTAGACTACTGGTAAAGAAGCACTAACATGTTTCACCTCCATACATTGCAAAATGATACACTCCACTCCGATATTTATGAGGTGGGAAAACTAACAACGAAAATTATTATGTGCAGCTTCAATGATATCATAGCAACTTTATTGATTCAGTGGCAAATACAAGCTGAGGACACATAACAAGATTAAAAAGAATGTTGCTAAGAACTTTCAAAGTTAGTGGATCATACAGATGAAATGATAATCATCAAAAGGCGTCAGCCATTCACCTTCCATATGGTGGATTGAAAACAACTTGGTACAATGCCACCAATCTATGTATGTAAAACTGGTGGCCAGTGATCTCTATACGGCTATATCCTCAGTGGCAGCAGATAATAGCACCTGGAAAAGGAAAATGGAAAAAAAAATAGAACAGTAAAAAATACACAGGACTTGAAATCTGAATTTATGTTTTGTTGCCTAAGAGACTTAATGTTTCTATAAGAGAATGGATAGCCAAAAATCATCATATTTCTATACAGGGGAGTCGTTTTAGTTTCAAAGAGTGCAATATCTAATACTGAACAAGATGCAATGTTTCAGAATGAGAGTTCACTCCAAAGTTTCCTGTTCACAAATATGTCTACACAACCAAGATGTCATATTTGTTAAACGATTCATGGGCCTCACACATGTTATTTATCGAAGCAGGTGTGCACCATCTAGCCATATATCAATAATCTTGAAACGCAGAAAAGCCACATATCAATAATCTTGAAACGTGGAAAAGCTGGAAATGAACTCGTACACAGCCCTACAATGGCACTCTTTTGGACCTTCCCCTAAAAACTGGTGAAAACTGAATGCACCATTTCAGCACATGCCTCACAGAACAAAAGCACGACATGACGCATAACAGGCCATGTGTGACAACTGCAAGGTGCATGCATACAATGTATGAACACTATATTACACAAAATCATCAAATTGGAGGAAACTTTCCTCTTTCCTCCTATCTTTCACTCACATAGCTGTCCAAATTAATATCCTGATCTTCCTAATCACCAATCAATAATGCATCAAAGCGAATCGCAAAATGTGGAAATACCACATTTCATTGAGCACCACAAACAAAAGCAGTGCACCTGGGCCACTATGGGACAGTGGGACTGGGAACAATACTAGAAGCTCAAATGGCCATGAAAATAGGCACCCTTAGGCTACCATGCTTCAAAATTGCACAGTTTAGTTTATTAATAGTATTTGCATGACAAATTGGGCTCCAACAATATTCATGAGCTATCTCTGCTCCACATTATTCTGATGAGAGATGTTACTATATCTTAGTCCCATCCCATGATTTAATAAGTTCTATTTCCACAGCTTTGGATTTGACCACATGCAATGCATTTCTAGGACCACACTCACTGAGTTATACTGCCATATATTCAGCACATTCCATGGATTCCTTGCTTCAGCCTTATTTTAAAACAAAACTTGAATTTCATTACTTGAATTCCATGGATACCCTATGTTGCATACACAATCAACTTTCTCTCTTTAGTTCACAAATTTATGTAGCCGCAGCATGGGTGCATTTAACTTGCAAAACATCCAGCATGATATGAATACTAATGTTGAACAAATTATCGGATTTGGGCTCAAGAAACTTTCAATTGTTACAACTGTACAGCATTACCAATATATCTAAAGCTATGTTTTATCACTTATGTGATTTTTTAAAGTGGGAAAAAAATACAGGATAACATATTTATTACCATTTTCTATGGATATGTTGTATGTAAATATCATCATCACGGGATAACATACACAGATGGTTCCATGGTGTAGTGGTAATCACTCTAGACTTTGAATCTGGTAACCTGGGTTCGAATCCCGGTGGGACCTAGTTTTTTTTAAACAGAAAATTTATTATATGCACTAAAAAATCCAATTTTTTTAGAAAATACTATCATCCTTGACACGACAAACAGCTATGAGCCAGAGAGTAGGTGGATATAGCCCTAGGGCATTGCGTCCTGCAGTTGTGGTTGAGACAAAGGAGACTGGAGATGGAAACAAATGTCTAAAGGGAATAAGAGAGGTTTCCACTAAAAGTTAACATACTGGACACAACAAAAGAGGTAAAGAAAGTAGTTAATTCTCTTCTTTTCCTTTTTTGCTTCATCTGAAAATAATCTATCTATCCCATTAATCAAAGGTGTGCGTGGACCTAAGGAACTTCTCTGAAGAAAGGTGGAAATAACAAAATGGCAAGATGAAAGTCAACTTGATAGTTGTCTCAAAATCCTTTGGAGGTCCTACTAGTTGCTTCTTTGTAATGACAACATGCCTTTTGAAGGGAGAAATGTTTTGGCACACTGCATTAACAGTAGGCACATAACATCTGGAAGGATGCTTAAAGAGAGAGAACAATAACGCTATTTCCTAAGAGTCTTAACCTACAATAGGGATTAACCAAATCCGCACGCTAATACTAGGTTATTCAGGTTAAAACGTCATTTTTCATACTAAACCGGCCTTAGGCATCAACCACTTAAGCAGAGAGCGAGTCTAAAGCAAGGTCGTCCTGACTTCCACCATGGCATGAAAAAGCAGCAACTTCCTGCAAAGCCCAAGTGTCCGGGTTGTACATGGCCTAAAGTAGCAAATATTTTCCTACGAAATCAGAAGGGTGCAGGCAAAGCGTGTAATGCAGCAAAAACAAAGGCTAATGATTCTCACGTGTTCCATACCCAACTCAACCGTTGTGCCAACTTTCTGACCTTGATCAGGCCCAACTACATCAGTTTGGATTGACATTTGGCACGCCAATGCACCCGCGAGCTTCAGTAGTTGATTTGCTGAATCCTGCGCTGATTAGAAGCGCCAAAATTTGGCAGGACAGGAACGGGCGCGATTCAGATGCAGACACGAACGTGCTGATCCAACGATGACGCGACCCAACCCATGTAAAACAGCAGCCTACACAGGATTAAGAAAGCGAAAACCTCACAGATATACTGATTCGGGAGAAGATTGGGGACACAGGGCAGCGAAGGGCGGTCACCTCACCGCGATGGAAACTGGATCGAAGCGAAGCCCGTCAAGCGCCGCGGCTGGGAGTCCCACATTCCCCGGGCTAGCAACCGTGATGGGCAACGGTTGCCCATTCCCCGCGTGGCGGCGGAGGCACGTGGGGACGCCGCAGCCGGCGGCATCAGGCAGCGCGGAGAGTGTTCAAGCCGTGGACGCAGGCCACGGCACGCTTGTTCTCGTGCGAGGATGGGCAACGTACATGGGACGCGGCGGCGAAGGGTTGGAGGCCGGGAGGATGCCCATGCCGTTGTGTTTGTTAGGGTTTCGGGGCTGCGGCGGCGGCGGCGAGATGGACGGGAAGACGGCGACGGACGACGGACGATTTGGAATTTCGAAGGGGAGGCCCGGGAGGGCATAGTAGCATGGTCGGGGTGATGGGCTTCGTGGGGCTGTCATTTTGCGGGCCGTTGCCATTGCGTTTCGTTTCCTTTCATTTCAGTTCGGATGAGTTAAGCCCAGGGAAGCCCAAATATGTGCACACATCAGCATTCGTTGGAAATGACTTTTTTTTAAACGTTTCCGGGAAGAACTTTTTTTCCGATTTGTGCGTGTCATCCTTGCGCAGGGCCATACTAATCTTCTCTGTATCGTTTTAATTTTATCGGATGTCTCCAAAGAGACTTTCATGGAAAAACTTGACAAACATGGAGGGAGATTTGGCTCCAAAGTACAGGAAAAATTAGGATAGAAACCAATTATTGAAATCTAAGTCTACATGTAATCGTAGAGTTGCTGCAAATATGCTAGGATTTCATTCGGTGTGCAGAAAAATTAGGATATACTCCCTCCCTCCCTTATTAACTATTGTTCTCGCTTTCCGAGAAATCAGTTGCACTCAACTTTGATAAAAAATATATAAAAATTATTAATATTTATAATATATAATTATTACTATTAGATACATCATTGAACCTATTTTCATAATAAATTTGTTTGGAAATACAAATGTTGCTTATTTTTTTATAAATCTAGTCAAAGTTAAAAAAGTTTGACCGGCATGTAATAGGGGACAAATAAATAGGGATAGAGTGAGTAAGGATTAAGAAACTAATCATTGAACTTTGCAAAAAAAAAAAACTAATAATTGAAACCGTCGTACGTATAGAATGATAAGATCCTGCCAACACTGTTTTTATATGATATGTTGGCGCAAAGGCAGATGGGCTCAAACACATGGAGAAATGGAAGCCGCGTAGCACCTCAAGCAAGCTTCCGAAGAAACCTCTCTTTCTTCCAGATGAATCAACAGCTTTCTTTCCTTTCCTCCTTTATTTTCCCTACTGGCTACACTATTGCCCTGTTCGTTTGGCTGATAGTACTGTTAGTTGATTTATTGTGAGAGAAAAATAATATTCGTTTACTGAAAAAGTACGACTTATAAGCCAAACGAACAGGACGATATACAGGAGTATATATATAGCATCAGTACTAGATTGAGATCTTAAGCGAGCCATTGATGAGTCGCTATCTACCCACGCGTTGAAAGACACAGAAACGACGAACGTTGGACACGGGCAGGGCGTCGGCAAGCACTCCAAAGAGTAAATCCGAATGCAAAATAAATGTGTCAAGCCGGCCGTCCGGATCCACTGTTCTAAGTACACGAACGGGTTCCTGAAGCTTCAGCATTGTACCAACCAACCAACAAATCTTCTTTCGCCATTGACTTATGGTTAGGGGAAAAGATGTGGTCAGTTTAACGACCATCACCATCTATGTCCTGATCTACACTTTTTATGATGTTATTTACAACCGCATATTAATTTATGGAGATTTCAGAATAGAGCTAAATTTTGAATTCTAATGTAAGTCGCATCCTTGACTCCGTGTACATGTGTGGGTCCATTCTAAGCTGAGGAAATTTCGCAAAGGCAATGTTGGATCTTGTTTGGCAAAGCTTTTTAAGTTGTTTCAACTCCTACTCCTCCAGTGAAGCCCTACCAAATGCCAAAGCGAAAAATGGCTCCTCAGGTAAGCCAGGGGCGGAGAAAATTAAAATAAAATTTGAAAAATTAACACTGCTGGCCCCTAACATTTAAAAAATTAACTTCTTGACTCCGCCTCTAAGTTAAACTCATGAGAGAAGGAATCATTTTTGAACTACAGAACTAAGGCCTCCATTTCATGGGTCCTCAGGCTCCCGGAGCTCCTCTAGTAAAGCCCTAGACGGTTGCCAAATACTTCCCATGTTCCATAATAAATAGATTTCTACCAAAAAAGTTGTCTACAAAAAAAATCAATCACTAGAAGGCTAAATGGTCTACCAACTCACTTATTTACCTCAGAGTTCTCTCATATTTATTACCGCTCCCAAATTCTCCAATCCAGAGTTAGTTTCTAAAGTTGGATGGATATGGTAAATGCTATAATTAGTGCACGGCTAGAATAATCACTGATAAGGTGCAACTACTCCAATTAATAAATGATGATATTTCTTTTCTCTATCATACTAATCTGTCCTAAATTTACTAGAAATCTATTTATAAAAAACAGAAGGAGTAGGCTCCAACAATCGCTTGACCAGACATCCCAGGCTAAGTCAACATTTTAGAGCTCCCTCTTTACATTCGAGGTTAAGATGCTGACTTTTCTCGATGAGTTTTTTTTTCTCATCACAAATTTTCCAAGATATATAGTTGCATTTATGATTTATGTTTCCTAAGGGGTTGCATGTCCTCAGAAACTTGGTGCAATTTTTCTCAGAGTGGTTACTTTAATTAAAACCATATCCGTAAGTTTTGGTCAAGTTACAAATGATTGTAACATGATCATTCAGTAAAGCGTCGACATCAATGATAACAATCCAGTCATGGTTCATAGGAACTACGTAATAAATGTTTAAAGACTTCATCCGGAATATAGCGAGCAACAAACCTAGCTATATCCTTTTGTCCTTGATCAAACTTTATATAGTTAGAAGAAATATGCGCACAATGTAAAGGACCTCCATGTGGAGAGTACCAGTGCATATGTTCTTTGCCTTTACAAATGAATGAACAATGTACACGTATTAGTGGTTGCATTGGTACTTGTCTTGTGCCGCACAGTGATAAATTTGGCCGATTGCTAAGCAGCCCTGGCACTTTATTTGTAGGTACCTAGCTAGTTGGGTTGTTATAGAAATATTCTATTTTTCATTGCTAGTCTGTGCTTTTCAAACCACCGTTTTATGCCCTAACTGCTTTTTTTGCGAGTGATTTATGTATTTACTAATTAAACGTGATTTATAGCTGGGGAAAAACTTTTGTTTTATGACATACTCTGATCGAAGTATACATATTTCTACTCACTTCATCCCAAAATATAAGTTATTCTAATTTTCTTGAAGAGTCAAAATATCTCAAATTTGACCAAATTTATATAATAAAATAATAACATTTATAATACCAACTAAATATTATTAAATTCTTCGTTAATTTTCATAGTGCACCTATTTGATATCATAAATCTTTATAATTCTCTCTATAATTTTAGTCAAACTTGATATGCTTAAGATTGTTGTAATAACTTATAATTTGAAATGAAAAGGGTACTTCACGGAGCACTGTGAAATGTAGTTGAAGTGCACAATCACACACAATAAAATGCAATTGCTAATTGAATGAGACGCCAGGTACAACCGGCTAAACCCTCCAGCAATGGCTGGTCCTGGGTTTAGGATACTCTTGGAGATGATGGTCTTTAATCAATACGAGTATGCTTTTTTTTTGAAAAAAAAATACTAGCATTTTTTACGCCACCTAAGCTGAAAGAGAGAAATAAAATGTGAATTGGCAGGATGCATACTGACAAGGTCAACGGATGTCTGTTGATAGCATGCATGCGGTGCGCTGCCTGTGATACGGCTGTGGATTAGCCTCTGCTAGCTGGCGCCTGGCAGGCAACCAGACACAGGATCTTGCAGAGGCCAATGGGGAGGAAGATATAATTAATACAGTATATAATAATAAACGATCGGCTGTTTAATTAATTAATCAACTAACTGACGAATAATAAATTAATTCGGGGTTTTCAGGTGGGCGGTTGCTGTTGAGTGGGCGCGCGATGTGGTTAGTTAAGTCATCGATCGACGACGACGACGGCGTTTTTTGTTCTCCTCGAGGAGATGAGAATGCGAGATGCTCCGCTCACTCTCGCGATGTCCCTTTCTGCTTCTGTTGGCTCGTGCCTTGCGAATTCTTCTATTCTTAATTTCTCCGTGGCCAATTGATCATGCCTCCAAATCATTGCACCCCGGAATCTGCAGTAATTACTGGCACTGCCCTTGGTTATGCTTGGGCTCTACCGGGTCGACAACTAACCTGCAGGAACTTTGTTATCAAAAAAACTGCAGGAACTTGCACTGCGTTTTTCGTCTTGTTGATGAACGAATAAAAAAAGCATAGCTGGCACTGCCTTTCCAACTGATAACGTTCATGGTGCCCAACAGGCAACAGCCCTCCATAGTGTGTACTGTAAAGTCATATCTACAATTGCTAAGGCTAACCTAGTAAAAATTTCATAGCGTTGTTTTCAAGAATGCCATATCAGATAAAATACAATGAAATTTGGATAAAACAATCAATCACATTGCATAGTTTTATTCTATAGTTTCAGTGGCATTTAATTTCATGACTCATTATGAGTTGGTAACTATTGTGGCAGAACCTCCTAAATTATAGGGCTCACATGCACCTGTCATTGTCTAATGACTTCTGACAACTATGCATATGTTCCCGGTAACTTAAGAAATCCGTCGGGTATCCTCGGGAAACCCGAATCATCCACGATTTCTTCCGAGCAGGATCCATTACAGAGTCATTGCAGTATTACAATAGTTTATTCAATAATTTACATCAGAGTAAAATAGCAGAAGTCTTACAATAACTTAGTTACAAAACAGTTGTTTCAAATCTCACAAACCAAGTACGATTATTATTACAAACCATAGTAGTAGAGTAGCATTAGTAACATAAAACAAAACACACAATTAAAGTGCCCTGCCCAAGGGCCACACATTTACTTGTCATCTTCGATTTGAAAAACCGTCATGCAGCACGGTCCAAAGCAGACCTGCTCATAAGGCTCACCTGCAACAAGGGTTAAAGAACCATAAGTACAAAAGTACTCAACAAGACTTAACCGACGTAAAAAAACGAAGAAGACTCAGGAATGCAGGCTCGGTGATTTAAGATAAGGCTTTAACAAGAATCAAAGTTCTTTTACGTAAAACCTCTATAACAAGATTTTTTTTAACATTTAAATCTTCATAAAGATCATATATAAAGCTGACATGATCTATATTGAGATCATGAACTTCATATCAAACTCTTTCTCAAATCTTACTCAAGTTTCATTTGTTAACTACGATGATAAACA